ACACACACATACACACACACACACACACAAAAAAAAAAATCCAGAGAGAGAGAAAACAGAAAGTGAAGTTCCTTGGTGGGGGGTGGGGGGAGGACAAACAGAAGAAAAGAAGCAATGAATTGAAGTGGCCTGAGTCAATCAGTGACATAACCACCTAATCAAGCAGCTAAGACTCTCAGTGGGTTACATGCCATACCAAATTCTAACTCTGACAAACGATAAAGAAAGTACCATGAAAAAGAAAATTCCGAGGCCAGCCCGTGGTGTGTTGGTTAAGGAGCAGGATCTCACAAGGCTGCCTGCCTGATTCAAGTCCCAGGCCTGGCAGCTTGAGAAGCACACGGGCCATGTGTGTGCCTGCCTCAAGTCCACAGAGGAGAAGGGATTGTGGCATGGTCTTCTCCCCTAGGAGTGAATTCTCACTTCCCCTCTATCTGTCCCTCTTTGGTGAGTCCACACACCTATGGCAAAAACCTAAAATGAAATAAAATCCTGGGGCTGGCTTCGTGGCCCGGTGGGTAAGGCAGTTAGATCCCACATGACTGAGTGATTAAAGTTCAGGACCCGGAGGTTTGAAGAACAACCCCTGTAAGTGTGTGGGTGGGCCCAACATCCCAGAAGAAGGGGAGATGGAGAAGAAGGGATTGTGGCGTGACCGTGCCTCATCAGGGGTGCTTCCTCTTCTCTCTCTCTCTCTGTCTCTCTCTCGCAAGTGTACATGCCCTAGGGTAAAAAATAAAATAAAAGCCAGTAAGAACTCTGGGGCCGGGTTTTGGTGCAGTGGTAATACAAGTGGACCCCTATGAGAAAGACTTGGGGTTCTCATCCTGAGCCCTCTCTGAGCACGCTGGAACACGTGTGTGTCTGTGATCTGAGCCAGGTGAGACTGGGGGAGATCACGGTGTGAAGACCCTATTGGGGATGCCTGTCTCTCTGTCTCTCTCCCTGCTCTCTCACAGAAAAAATAAACAAACTTGAAAAAACACACAAGATACCTACAGCGTGTTTATATGTCAAACTATCAACGGAGTATTTTTTCATCGGAATCTAGTTTAACAGCTGTATTTGGGAATCTTATGACTGATTTTTACTGTGAAGTCAAGTCAGCATTGGCAATGTTCTGTCAAGAATGGCAGTTTCTGTAGCGTCTGTTCTTCTTTCTTGTTTCTGTAGCAGGAGACTTCCAAGGTGTCAAAGAGTGCCAGACAGTGGAAAACCAAAGGTGCCAGGCAACTTTGATAGGATCTGTTCCAAAGCTCATCTCTGCAAGCTAAAGAAACATCGGGAGTGGCAGACATCAGAGAACAGAAGGAGTTTTAAAGGACTAGCTTGACATTGGACTACGATAACCAGGCATTCCGCTCATTCTCTCTGCGTAAGCTATAACCATCATGGCCGTGGAGGCAAACAGAATTTGAAGCTACGAAAAGAGAAAGCAGCGCACGTGGCAGCAAGAACTTAGCTCCACACCTTCGAGAAGTTTCTAGAAACAACTTTTTTTTTGTAAAAATGTCAAATACACAGAAAGAATTGTTTTCTCTCCTGTAGTCTTGTTTCATGGCCTGGTGAATTAACGTCTAGAGGGCGCTTGGGTGTTGGGGGACAGACTCAGCCTCCCTCTGTTTCCAGCCTACATGTGGTGAAGCAGAGGCAACGTGTGAGCAGAAATGCTCTAACAACACAGCCTTGTATTTAAGTTCTGGCAAACAAAAATGGTGGGGGTGTGGGATACAGAGCTTTTTTATTCCCATAAAGATGACATGAAACTACATGCACCAGAAATAGCTTCAGAATCCCAGGGTTGTAAAACTTAACTCATAAACTTCAGTAGTTTAAGGAGTGCCTGCCCGAAGTAGTAACAGATCCGTCTGTCATTTCAGCCTAAGTAATACCCGACGTGATTCATGAACGGAACTGAGAGCAGCTCCGCAGCTCCTACTTCCATCCTAGGTATTTCTCTGCTTCCTCATGTCTGCTTCCCTCAGGACAGACTTACACCCCTAGCTTCGGATAACGATGACCAGTAGTCTGGTACAATTTTTGTGGTAAATAGAAAAACCAAACAAAATAAAAACAAATAAACAAACAAAAAAAAAAAAACAAGAGAAAAAATCGCCCTCGACAAATAGTCAAATACCACCCTTCTGAATAATTATGGTTCAATGATAATGAGTTTAAAACAATGTTTCTAAAATATCGTCCACTGAAATACAAAACTATCTGGGATGCTGGTTAAAAATGCAGATCTTGGGACCAGCAGATGGCACAAATTGTTACGTCTCTGGACTCCTACATAGCCAATCCTAGTTCAAGTTCCGGACCCGGAGGCGTGAAACTCATCAAGGTTGAAGTGTGTGCATGCCCAAAATCCCGAGAGGAGAATGGAAGAGAAGTGATTGTGGCATGGCCATCCCCCTGGGAGGTGATGTCTCGCTTTGTGTCTCTCTGTCTCTCTCTGTCTCTCCGGCACACATATCTGCTCTATAGCAAAAACCTCTCTGAAAAAAAAAAAATCCAGATCTCTGGGGCTGGCCTTGAAGCCTAGTAGTTAGGGAGCTGGATTCCATAAGGCTAACAGCAGTTCAAATCCTGACCTGGTGGCTTCAAAAACGCATTGGGCATTTATGTGTGCATGCCCCGAATCCCAACAGGGTGTCAGAATGGAGCAGGAGAGATTTCGGTGTGACCACACCCCATGGGGGGTTGTGCTTTCTCCATCTACTTCACTCTTGGTCTCTTTGTCTATCTCTCTCTGGTAAACACATGTATCTTTGGCAGGCAATTAAAAGGAGAAAAAAAAAAAAAAAGCAGGCTCCAGATTGTCCTCGTAGAGCAGGGTTTAAGCTCTGTGTCTAGGGAGCTAGGGAGCCAGATCCCACAAGCCAACCACAG